AAATATATTTAAAAAAAACATATTTGGTGAATAAGAAATAATATTTTATATATAAATATACACATGCATCGGATCAGGGCATGTCGATGGCTGTATGTACTGTTCTTTCCCACTACTTACATGGCATTTGTACTTTTTTTTTTTTTTTGCATTTCCCCTGTCATTAGTCTTTAAGAACATCCTTTTGACGGCTGTATAGTATTCCATCACCTTGCTATTGCGTCATTTTTACTTTCTTTCACGCCATCCTTCTTGGTCTTTATTCAGTTATGTCTGCAGGACTTAAACAAGGAAATAGGAGGGAAAAGAATGGGAAGGCCTTTCTGACAGAAGGAACTCATAGGTGTGGGGAGCTGAGGGAAATCTGAAGGGTGTTGAATGCAGAAGTGGTGTCTAGTGGGCCATGTGGTAGGAAACCCTGTGCCCAGTGGCATGCTATTTTTTTTTAAATAAATATTTTATTTATTTTTTTACTGAGAGGAAGGGAGAGAGATAGAGAGCTAGAAACATCGATGAGAGAGAAACATCGACCAGCTGCCTCTTGCACACCCCCTACCGGGGATGTGCCCGCAACCAACGTACATGCCCCTGACCGGAATCGAACCTGGGGCCTTTCAGCCTGCAGACCGACGCTCTATCCACTGAGCCAAACCGGTTTCGGCCAGTGGCGTGCTATTAAACTAACTCTCCAAATATGTATCTATGGCACTTGCCAATGTCCACGGTGTAAATTCTCCCACTATTGTTGATGGTTAGTCCCCAAGATAGCACTGCTGAACGTGGAGTTGCGAGGCAGGGGACAGCCAGCTCTCACAGGCCCAGGAGCAGCTCAGCCCAGCCCTGTCCGGTCCTTGCTCTGGGATGAGAAGCCCTCTCCGCTCCATGTCCGTGAGCTCCCGGGGCCCCAGGCCCAGCATCTCCGTCGAAGGGGAGGGCCCAGCCCTGGGCAGTGGGCCCATCAGGGCGGCAGGAACCCTATCTTGGGATCTGCCTATCAGATTTCTCAGCTGAATGCAAACTCACAGATTCCCCCAGCTCAGCAATCCGGAGCCGCCCCAGCCACTGGAGTGTGGCTGCCCCATCCGCCCCTGGAATTCTGGGCTGGGGCAGGGGCTCTGCCCAGCCTCAGAGCTCAGCCACTGAGGGGGGGCTCCGTATCAGGCACAGCGGTGGGTTCACACACAATGGCCACGACACTTACTGAGCACTTCCTGTATGCCAGGCTCTGTTCAACGTCTGACATTTACTCCATCGCATCCTCACAACCAGCCTATGCGGTGGGTGCCATTATTCCGCCCCCCCCCCCTCCGGGCTTACAGATGAGGAAACTGAGGCATGGAGAGGATAACTCACTTGCCTAAGAACACCCAGCTCTCAAGTGTAGGTGCCAGGATTCGGTCCTAGGCTGGCTGGAAGCTAAAACCTCTGCTCTTAGTCCCCAAGCTGAGCCTCGCCTCCTGAGTAAGGTTTTTCTTTTCTTAAAATATATTTTATTGAGGAAGGGAGAGGGATAGAGAGTTAGAAACATCGATGAGAGCCGAAATCGGTTTGGCTCAGTGGTAGAACGTCGGTCTGCGAACTGAGGGGTCCCGGGCTCGATTCCGGTCAGGGACATGTACGTTGGTTGCTGGCGCATCCCCAGTGGGGGGTGTGCAGGAGGCAGCTGGTCGATGTTTCTCTCTCATCGACGTTTCTGGCTCTCTATCTCTCTCCCTTCCTCCTCTCTGTAAAATATCAATAAAATATATTTTTAAAAAAAGAAAAAAGAAACACCGATGAGAGAGAAACATAGATCAGCTGCCTCCTGCACACTCCCTACTAGGGATGTGCCCGCAACCAAGGTACATGCTCTTGACCGGAATTGAACCTGGGACCTTTCAGTCCGCAGGCTGACACTCTATCCACTGAGCCACACCGTTTAGGGCTTGAGGAAGGTTTTACATAGCACCCGCTGTGTGCTCTGCCTGGTGCCGGATAGTGAGTGGCGTTGGCAGGGACCATGGTTTTGTCTTTACGGATCTGAGCAGAAGAGGAATGGGAGGACGTTAACCATTTTTTGAGCAACTCCTGTGTGCCAAAAAGAAAGCCAGGTGCCTCACACCACCGTCCTAATTCCTTCTCACCAACATCCCCTGAGGAAGGCAAGCCCCCTCCCATGTGCCAGCCTGGCCCGGGTGCTCAGCAGTCTGCCCTCCGCCCTCCTCGCTGGGTGGCCTCCAGCAGGCCCCATGCCCGCGCGGGCCACCTCTCCCCCTTGGGTCCCCTGACAGAGGCTGTTCCGGGAGACCTGAAACCCTCTGCCAGTTTGGGGCCAAAGCTTCTCACAACAACAGGAAGTGGCCGGGCCATTTGGAAACAAAACGCCGGGGGACTCTGGCCACAGCCCCAGGGGAATGGCAGGGTCAGACGCCAGATATTGGGCAGGTGACAGAGCTGACTCCCCAGAGGCCTGGCTGGATCCATGACCTTTGTAAACTACCCCCCCCCCGGGGGGGGGCGGGACGGGGACGGGGAGGGGTGCCTAGGAACGTGACTTCCTGCTCAGCTCCGGAAGGCAGGCGCTCATGGCTGCTGGCAGCTTGGCTGGCTTCCCAGGGGGCCCAGGAACGAGGCCCCCGGGTGCCACCAGGGTCACCAGGGTCCAGGGCTCTGCAAGGTCTCCAAAGACAAAGGCCCAGCTGAAAGCTCCCACGTAGGTTGGGGATGGAAGGCCTGAAACCCTTGAAGCCAGTTCAGATTTCCCCTGGTGAGGATCTGGGATGACTGGTCACGATTAGGGGGTGCTTCACCTACTGCCCTGGAGCTACCACCGTTCTGAATCAACCCTGGATCACCCCTCACCCCCCACCTGAAGGACGCTGCAACGCGTCTGAGGCTTGGGCCAGCCCTGCTAGACCCATTTCCCAGATGGGGTAACTGAGGCCCAGACTTTGGAAGCTGAAGGACTCTCCAAGCAGTGGCTCACTGGGGAGAAAATTCCAGGGACCCGAATCCCTAATGAGAGGGGCTGGGTGGGAGTCGAAAAGGGAGACTGGGAGGCCGATCACTGGCTGGGCAGCCCTCCCAGTCCCGCCGGTCTGGGTGTGCCCACACTCATTCATTCAGCAGGGCACTTCCCATTGGGTGCCCAGCCCTGGGCTGACCCCAGTGACTCAGGCTGGGCACCAGCCCTGCTAAGAGCCCTTAAGCAGGTAAACAATGAAACTCACGGGGAGAAAGAGTGTGTGTAAGTACCTGTCCTGGGACAGGCCTTCCCCGACCGCTTATCTGATTTAAAACCTGAATACACGTACAAACTCGGAGCTGCAGGAGCAGGAAGAAAGGGAAGGAAAAAAAAAAAATCTCTGCTTGTTGAGGAAATCCTGGAGGACACCCAGGAGAGGTGACATTGGAGCTAGGGCTGGAAGAACCGCCATAGTAACACCAAACACCTTTTTAAGCTTCCCAAGCTCCCAACAACGCTGTTCTGAGATCTGCATCTGCTTTATCTCACCGAATCCTCCCCAAACCCTGCGGGCGAGCTGCCGTGTTCCCCCTCGGAAGAGGTGAGAAAACCAAACCAAGGCACGGACAAGCTCACTTGCCCAACCCCACAGAGCGACCAGGATTTCTATCCAGAAAGGCAAACCATCTGCAGACTGACACCTGCCTGCAGCTCTTCCATTCCTCTGAACCTCCGTTTCTTTTTTCCTTTTTAAAAAATATATTTTATTGATTTTTTACAGAGAGGAAGAGAGAGGGATAGTTAGAAACATCGATGAGAGAGAATCATCGATCGATCAGCTGCCTCTTGCACACCTCCTTACTGGGGATGTGCCCACAACCAAGGTACATGCCCTTGACCGGAATCGAACCTGGGACCTGTCAGTCCACAGGCCAACACTCTATCCACTGAGCCAAACCAGTTTCGGCTGAACCTCAGTTTCTTTGCCCACCAAGTGGGGGTAACGGGACAACCCTCTGCAGCCCAGAGAGCGATTGTAAAGACGAAGATGGGCTAAGCCCGCCAGGCTGAGGGCAGTGCCTGGCACAGAGAGGTGTTCAAACATCGTAAATGACTTTTATCCTCCTCGCTGCAGCAGCTGCGCCCCTCCCCGGCCGCGCGCCCTCCCCCGCAGCGCCGGCCAGTGACGTGGGCGCGGCGGCGGCTCGCACCGTCTGGGTTTCATTGGAAACGGAGAGATCGCAGGGGATACGGAGGCCCCTCCCTAGAATCTAACGGACCCCCCAGGGAACGTGCCACCACTCTCTCTGGCGACCCCTCCGGGAGGGAGGGGCGGTGGTGGTGGGGTGGATAGACCGGGAGGAGGCGGCGCCGGGATGGTAGGAGGGGAGGGGAGGGCCGAGGAGACGGGAAGGTGCAGGAGGGAGGCCAGGCAGGGGACACACCACGTTTTCTGAGCCCGATGCCAACTCACCAGGAACCTCTGGCCACGCCCATCACGGCCGGAGGCCACGCCCCCTGGCGGTCCCAGCCCCGTTGCGCCCGGGTCTGCGCGGCCGGTGCGCTCCGGTGCGCGTGGCTGGGACCCCGGCGGAGAGCGGGCGGCGGGGCCCGGGGGCCTGCGGGCAGTGGGGAGCCGGGGGGAGGCGGGATTGCGGGGAGGGCCCGGGGCCGCCTCCTTCCGCCCTGCCCGCCCACCAGGAGCTGCAGACTCGGAGGCAAAAGCCGGCGGCGGTGGCGGCGGCGCTCCCTGCGCGCCCCACCTGCTCCGCACGCGGATCCTACCTGTGGATCCTCCGCGGGGGAGCGGGGAGGGAGGGCGCGCCCTCCGAGGACACCGATCCCCCGCCTCCTCCTCCGAACGCCTCCCGCCCAGCAGCTACCCGCGTCCTGGACCGGGGGCGCCGGGACCCCGGGACAGGGCGCCAGGCGTGCAGCTGGTGGTGACATGTAGATTCTTCTCTCCGCCGCCACCCCCCACCCCGTGCCCGGCGGTCCGGTCTCGGAGGAACCTGGGCGCCCTCCCTCCCGCCCTGAAAGTTTGGGGTTGGGCGCCATGGCCAAGATCAGCTCCCTGAACGTCCGCGTGGTGGAGGGCCGGGCGCTGCCCGCCAAGGACGTGTGAGTACTCCCGGCAGCGCGAGGGGCGGCCGGGGCGCGGGGTGGGGTGGGTGGGGGCGCCCATGCCGCGTGCCGGGGGGTGGGGGGGGGTGTCGGGGAACGAGGCACGGGTTCCTGTCTGAGATGCGAAGACCGTGTGTGGAGGCAGATACATCTTCATGGGGGGAGAGGTCCCATACCCATGGCTGCCCCGTGCCCAGAGGCCCGCCCTGGCCCCCCACCCCACAAGGGTGGATGGGTGTCTTTGATCCTGGGATGTACTGAAGGATCTTACAGGGCGTCAGCGGAGATGGGAGCGGATTCTGTCGCGGATGGGGATGGGGTTGGGATTGGGGATGGGGTTGGGATTGGTGAATGGGGATGAGGATGGGGAGGGGGAGGGGGAGTGGGATAGGAATGGGAGGAGGGGGAGGGGGAGTGGGATAGGAATGGGAGGAGGGGGAGGGGGAGTGGGATAGGAATGGGGGGAGGGGGAGGGGGATAGAATGGGGGGAGGGGGAGTGGTATAGGAATGGGGGAGGGGGAGGGGGAGAGGGAAGGGGAGAGGGGGAAGCGAGGGGGAGGAGGAGGGGGAGGGGGAGGTGTCCCTGCAGGTTTGGGTAGGCTCCTATCAACAAAAGGCGGGGGGTGCAGGTGGCCCAGCATGCCTCCGTGTGCATCTGGGGTGTGGATTTGCAGCGTGTCACCAGATGGCCAGCCCACCCACCAGCCTTGGGGGAAACTGGGGTGCTTTTGACCCAGAGCCCGGGGCTCCCCAGCCAGTGGCTCCTAGCCAGTGTGGGCCCTCCCTGCATGCTGAGCGCTTTGAGGAGCTACCCCCCACCCCCCGCTACCCCCTCCCCACCAGGTGTGCTGGTTCTGGAGAGCCTGTGGGCCCCCTCGTACTTGGCCCTGGCTGGGCTTCCCTGGGCTGAGCCAGCAGGTGCCGGGTCAGCAGGACGGTAGGAGGGGTCCCCCTCCTGCTTGGCCTGGAGCCCAGAGAGGGTTCTGAGGGTGTCAGCACCTGGAGTCGGGCTGGGATCCTTGGCAGGACTTGGGCTGTTTGACCTTGAACCTGGTTCTCCCATCTGTGCAATGGGAGCCCTGGCCAGGGTCCCCAGCCCCGTCCAGCCGGGAGGGTGGAGGGCCAGCTAAGACTGACTGGAACCTGGGTTCTGAGCCTTGGCTCTGCCCACCTCCCCCAGTGGCGGGCCCCCAGCAAGGAGCACCCCGCCTTCCATTCCACCACCTGCCGCCTTACCCAACACTGTGGCGTGTCCAGGGGGGTGCTGCTTAGAGCTCCTCCATCCTCCCGGCCACCCCCAACCAGCACCGCCCTGCACCCCACAGAGGCCGAGGGCTCGCTGTGCGAATGCAGCACCTGGACAAGCCCCAGCTCCCTCTCTCTGAAATGTCCTCCCCGAGCTCCCCCCGCCCCTCCTTCGGGGAGAGAGACCCCAGAAGTGCTGGGGCAGGGAAGCCAGGAGGGAGGCTGGAGGCTGATGGAGGCTGGCGAGGGCCTCGAGGGAGCGCCATCTGTCCGCCTCGGAGGGAGCTGAGTCACGCGTGGCTCCCGTGCCACCCTCCTCCCCGTGTTCCTGGGCCACGGCCACGCCCTCGGGCAAGGGTAGGGAGTCACTGAGCCCCAGCTGGGGATCTGGCCACCCTGCCTCAGTTTCCCTGGCTGTTGGCTGGCTCCCTTCTTCATGGGCGCTCTTCTCAGAGCATGCTGGGATCTCCCTGCCCGCGGGGACTCAGCCAGGGCGTGCTCTTTCGCCCCTCTCCTAAGGGAAAGGCTGGATTCTTCCTGAAGCCTCCTCAGATGTCAGAGTGTAAGAGGAAGACTCAGCGGATGACTTTAGAGCGACTACAATCATTGATAATAGCAGCTGTGCCCTGGCCTGGTGGTTCAGTGGTTAGAGCACCGACCTGTGCCCTGAAGGGTTGAGGGTTTGATTCCTGGTCCAGGGCACAGGGTCAAAAGCCTTGGACCCCTCCCCTCGGCCCCAGTTCGGGCACCTGTGGGGAAGCAAACCAGTCAGTGTGTCCCTTTCACATCAATGTTTCTCTCTCTCTCCCCCTCCCTCCCTTCCACTCCTTCTAAACATCAATGGGAAAGACACCCTCCGGTGAGGGTGACCAACAACAGCAAAAATAATAAGATGGTGCCATGCGTAGCTGTAAGTGGGGGCTGACGAAGGACCAGGTCCTGCGCTTGGTGTTTCCTATGCTCCTGTTAGCACTTCTGGTTTACAAATGGGGAAACGGAGGCCCAGCGAGGCAACGTTGCTTGCCTGAGGTCACGCAGCCGGGACGTGGAGCCTGATCGCTCCCATGCACACCCCAGGCCGGGCAGGCCAGGGCCGCGGGGCCTGCTTTCCTGCTGGGCAGGGGCAGCAGCCGTGGGAGAGGGCAGGCTCCGGAGAGACGGCGGGTCAGCGCGGCAGCCCCCTCCCTCCCTGGCCCCTACCTGATAGGAGCCCGATAAGGCCCTCGTGCGTCAGCGCCCTGCAGCTGACATGTGAGCTGGGCTCCCATGAGGGCCCGGGGGTCAGGCGGGGTTCACGGGAGGGGGCGTGTTTCCCAGCCCTTTGCTGGTGAGAATCCAGCCCACATCCACAGTTGGGGAAACTGAGGAACGGGAGCGTGCTTGAAAGAAGCTCAGGGTTAGAGAGCCCAGAGAGAGAGAAAAACGAGATGTAGGGAGGGGGTTACCCAGCCTCGGGCATTCGGGAGCCAGGAGGGGAAATGGAGGCCCAGGGCACTCCAGGGAAGGGGGATCCGAGGGGAGGGCCTAGAGAGGAACTGGGAGACACAGGCCAGGCTGAGAGGTGCAGGGCGGGGACCAGATGGAGCAGTGAACCACCGGAGAGCCCAGCAAAGGGGGCCGAGGGAGGAATCCTGAGAGGAGACCGAGGTGCGGGGGGACAAGCCTCGGGTTGGGGCCAGCTCCGGGTGCCCACGTCCCTGCTTCTTGGAACCCCTGAGGCACTTGTGGATCGGGGACCAGCGGACTGAGAGGAGGTTGCAGAGAGAGAGAGAGGGTGAGGGCCGGGCCTGGAGGGAGGGCCGTTTGGGCTGGAGGCAGCCTTGGCCCAGAGCTTGTGCGCTGAGTCCTCTGGACCTGGGCTTGGATCCTGCCGGCCAGGCAGGCTGGTGGGGCTGGAGGTGGGGGTGCCCTGGCCTGTCTGCCCTGAGAGCTGCTGAGCTCCATCTCTGCTGGCAGCTGAGCAGCGTGTGTGCCCTGCCCAGGGGACCCCGCTGTCACGAAAGGCCAGCGAGGCCAAGCTCATGGCCGAGGCTCCGGGGCGCCTGGTATGCCTGCCCCACGGGCGCCTTAGTTCCCCCTCTGCCCCAGGGGGTGCATGTTAACGTTCTTCCTGATTCAGGCAGAGGAGCCAGGGCCACACAGGAGGGTGGGGGCTGGCCAGGGCCCCCCAGCCGGCAGGTGGGGAAGCAGGTGTGACGCCCCCGCAGGCGCTGGCTTCGGCCTTCCTGGGACAGGGCCTCTGCACTTCCTCGCCCGGGGCCTCCATGTTCTATTTCTGTGGGTCACCGTGGGCAGGCTGAGCAGCCAGGACATCCTGCTGGTCCCCAGCCTCGGAGCTGGACTTGCTGCGTGACCCTCCCTGGACAGGCCCCCTCCCCTCTCTGGGCCTCCATGGCACCCTCCTGTGACAGGAAGGTGGGTTAGGGTCCCCGCCCATGACTGCCCTCTCCCCCTCCTCTTCCTGCAGGTCTGGGAGCAGTGACCCCTACTGCATCGTGAAGGTGGATGACGAGGTGGTGGCCAGGTGAGGCGTGGAGGGCGGTGGGAGGGCGAGGCGAGCTGGGCAGGGGCCGGGGAGGGGCTCCTTCTAGCCCTGGGGAGTCCAGACACAAGAACCCGCCAGGAAAAAGGGCACTGACCGGGGAGGGTGACACTCATGCCAGCTCCCCTCCCCACCCAGCCCCAGCGGTCCCACACCTTCCCCCTGGACTTGACCATGTCCCTGCTGGCTCCCGGGGCTGACTCAGCGGCCGCCAGCCCGTGCCTCCCATGGTGGCCTCCCCGGGGGCGGGCATCTCACGCTTGGCTGGGCTGGCTGGTTCCAGGCCTGCCTGCTGGGTGCTGCGGGCACCAGGGTGTGTGTGTGCGCCTGAGCCCAGCGGGCCTGCCTGTGTGTCCATGGGGGTGTCGGGGGACTGGTGTCCAGATGTCCGTGTCCCTGTGTGTGGTCCGTGTGCATGTGTGGCCTGCCCACGGCCTGCCCTGTACACACGTGTGCACCGCTGCATGCTTAATTGGGTCCATAGGCACCATGTGAACACACGTGAGGGTGTGAGGGTGTTTGATGTGTGAGGGAGTCTGGGTGTGGATGGGGGGGGGATATGGGGCTGGGTCATGCTTGGTCCCCACCCCTGCAGCCCGGCCAAGGGACAGCTCTCAGCCCCCGCAGGCCTGAGGGGTGTGGGTGGGTGGATGTCTGAGGCCTCCGTTCCTATGGAGACAGCGGGATTCAGGATGCTGCTGGCATGGTTCCGGTCCAGATGGACTGGGAGCTGGGGGCAGGGAGCCCATATGGGGGAAGGTCAGCCTACACCAGCCAGCTGACCTTCTCCCTCATTCTCTCTGTGCTCATGCTGCCCCTTCCCCACAAGCCCACAGGCTGATGTTTCGGGTCCCGGCAGGCTGCTGTCCCCTCCTCTCTGGGATCGTAGGAGCATCCCACCTCAGGGGCTGGGGAGGGGCTTCCAGCAGGGAAAGGCAGAGCTAGGGGACAGAGTGTGGTGCGTGTGTGTGTGTGTGTGTGTGTGCACACTCATGCTCTCTGTTGGGGGAAGAGTGTGCAAAAGGAAGCATGGGAGCAGCAGGTGTACGAGCCAGTTTTTGCAGCCATACACGTGGGTGTGTCTCACTGAGCACGGAGGGTCTTTGTTCTCTGTTGGGTAAAGGGAAGTGGGTCTGCAGGGTGCCGGGGTGAAGACGCTCCATGTGTGTGCCTGTCGTGGTCCCTAACCCTGCTGTGGTTCCCCTTTGCTTACTTAGTGCTCTGGCTCCTGCTGAGTCAGTCATCTGGCCCCTCACACTCCTCCTCCCTTTCCAACCAGCACCGTCCTGTTCCTCAAAAGGACCATGTTCACCCCTGCCTCAGGGCCTTTGCACGTGCTGTCCCAGCCCTTGGGGATGCTTGTCCTCATCCTCTCTCCCCACTTTGCCTGACTAGCTCTTGCAGGAAGCCTTTCTGGACCCCTCCAGCCCCGACTCCCACAGCCAACCAGGCACTAACCACAGCACGGGACTCGCACTGTGCCACAGAGCTCAGGAGCGCGCCTGGCGGCTCAGGGGGCTGGGAGAGAGGATGGATGGATGGATGGAATCATGCGTGTTGTTGGTTACTATGTTTGTGTGATTCTATATGTGTATCTGCTGTGTACGTACGTGAGTGTGTCTGTGGGTTTGTGTGACTGTGTCTGTGCATGTCTACATGTGTCAGTGTGTAGAAACGCATAGATTTCTAGAAGTTTCTGAGGCTGCATATGAGTGTCTGTGTCTCTGGCTTCCTTGTGGTATCTATGAGTGTCTGTTTCAGTGTACTCCAGTGGGAGTGTGTGTGTACGTGTGTGTACGTGTGTGTGTGTGTGTGCGCGCCACCCATGTGACCTGGGTGCCCAGGTGTCTGCAGCTTGTGTGGCCCAAGTCCCTGTAGCCCCCTGTGCCCCCCCCCCCCTTTTGCAGGACGGCAACCGTCTGGCGGAGCCTGAGCCCCTTCTGGGGGGAGGAGTACACGGTGCACCTGCCCCTGGACTTCCACCACCTGGCCTTCTACGTGCTGGACGAGGACACGGTGGGGTATGTGCGCCAGGGCCCAAGCCTGGGCGTCCGAGGGGAGGCGGGCACCCCAAAGCAAAGTCCCCGCCTTCCCGCCCACCCTGGATGTCCGTCCCTTTCCTGACCGGGACCCTCCCCGCCCCCTCTCCACAGGCACGACGACATCATCGGCAAGATCTCGCTGAGCAGGGAGGCCATCGCCGCGGACCCCCGAGGTGGGCGAGGGGCTCCGGCCCTCGGCCGGCAGAGGGAGGAGGGGTGGCCGTGCTCAGGGTGGGTGCTGCGAGGGCAGAGCAAGTGTCACGAAGAGCACAGGGCCCTCCGTGGGAAACAATTTCAGTTTCTGTTTTTAAACAGGACAGGAATGTGGGGGTGGCGGGTGGGATGTGGAGCATCACTGGCATGACGGTGCTGGGGAGGAGTGGGCAGGTGGCCTAGGAAGGCTTCCTGGAGGAAGGGGCAGGAGCTGGGCTTCGAGGGGCTTTAGCAAAGAGGCGAAGGCCCCTCCTCATGGGTTCTCCTCTCGGGCCAGCTGTGGGCGGGGCCAGACAGAGTATGGTGTGGGGGTTGATTGGAGATGGCCTCGGTGCCTGGGCCTTTTCTGGGAGGTCCTGGGCAGCCATGGATAGTCCCTGAGCAAGACAGCGGAGAGAGAGAGGGGAGCCATGTCGGAGGAGGACAGACTGACAAGAGAGATGAGAGACATTTCCAGAAGGTCTCTGTGCTGCTCTGTGGATGCTGGAGCACAGTGGGACGGGAGTAGGGCTGAGAGATCCATTTGGATTCGGTGCCATGAGCAAGCGAGAGGACGCTGACACCTCCCGTGCTTGGGGTTGGAGTGGAGACAGAGGCGAAGTGGAACTTTCATTTCCGGCGGCCCAGGCACTGCCCCTTCGGAAGGGCCCTCCTGTTCGTGCCAGTGGGCTCCCGAATTACATGCGGTTCCTAATACGTGGTTGGACTTGCTGTAAAGAAGGAAAACTGCCCATTCTCCTCCCAGCCCCCCCCCCCCCCGATCGTCAGCAAAACGTAACAGGGAGCGGGGAGCCACAGAGAGGGAATAAGGAAGGAGCTCCCCGAAAGTCAATGTCAGGATCGCACCTGCAGTCAGTCCACAGGCTAAATCCCGAGCCAGGGCGAAGGCAGGCGGTGCTGACCCCAAAGCTTCCCCGTTAGAGCGAGACCCTGGAAGGGGCCCGGAGTGAAAAGCACCTCTCCTCTCCAGGATAAGCACCCTCACGCTCCGTGTCCCACGGAACGGGATCAAACAAACACGAATTCACAATCAAAGATCCTCACACACACGACGCCGAGCACGTGGTAGGCGCCTAACAAATGCCTGTGCCCTCCAGGAATTGACAGCTGGATTAACCTGAGCCCCGTGGACCCGGATGCCGAGGTGCAGGGGGAGATCTACCTGGCTGTGCAGATGCTGGAAGACGTGCGCGGCCGCTGTCTTCGCTGCCATGTGCTCAAGGCCAGGTAGGGTCGAGGTGGTCGGCAAACTCATTAGTCAACAGAGCCAAATGTCAACCGTACAAGGATTGAAATTTTTTTTGAGAGCCAAATTTTTTAAACTTAAACTATACAGGTAGGTACATTGTTATTAACTAGAGGCCCGGTGCACGAAATTCGTGCACGGGGGCAGGGGGTGTGTGTGTGTCCCTCAGCCCAGCTGGCAGCACCCTCTCCAATCTGGGACCCCTTAAGGGCAGTCGGACATCCCTCTCACAATTCAGGATTGCTGCCTCCCAACCGCTCATCTACCTGCCTTCCTGATTGCCCCTAACCGCTTCTGCCTGCCAGCCTGATCACCCCCTAACCACTCCCATGCCAGCCTGATTGATGTCTAACTGTTCCCCTGCCAGCCTGTTTGCCCCCAACTTCCCTCCTCTGCTGGCCTGGTGCCTCCCAACTGCCCTCCCCTGCTGGCCATCTTGTGGTGGCCATCTTGTGTCCACATGGAGGCGGGATCTTTGACCACATGGGGGCAGCCATATTGCGTGTTGGAGTGATGGTCAATCTGCATATTACTCTTTTATTAGAAAGGATTAGGGTATTCCTAAGCTGGCCTTTGCTAAAAACTCAAGGGGCCAAAGAGCCCCAGTTTGCCGACCACTGGTGTGGGGTATCGGCGGCGATCTGAGAATGAGCAGGGACCAGCCACTAAAGGCCAGACATGAGCGAGGAGGTGTGTTCGTCAGACTGTAAGCAGTAGACACCCAGTTCACATGGACGTAAGCAGACTATCTCATATGAATGTCATGTGGCTTCAGGCATGGCTGGATCCAGGTGCTCGAAGGGTGACTTCGGGACTCTGCGTGCACACAGATTCCTGAGCTGTCTTGTGTGTTAGCTTCATTCTAAGTCCTTCCCCGGGCAGGGCAACCCTGGCCCCGGCAGCCTCCGCTGCCATCCTAACAACCTGGCAGCCCTGGCTGAAAAGGAACTTCCGTCGCTCACCATTTCCAGCCAGTGTTTTGGGAGCATTTCTTACCGGCTCCGTCTGGGGCACATGCCTGTCTCTGTCAGTTACATGGACTGATCTGTTGGACCTGAGTCACAGCCCGTTCCTGGAGTGGAGGGAGGGTCCGCTCGGAAGAGATCATTTGGGCTGGGGGTGAGGAGGGGAGGTCCTGCCCGAGGAATCACGGGGAGGAAGACAGATGCGGGACCAGCAAACCCCACAGTGACCCTCCAGAGGCACTAGCTCATGGGGTAGCCCTCACTCCTCCTGCCTGCATTTCACTCTGTAATCCGCCCCTCTGAGCTCCCCCATTATTCTGCTTCTGTAACTACCCCACCCCTATTCCCCTCTTATCTCCCATCTTAATCTTTCTGCCTTTTCCCCCTCCCACATCTTACTCCCCCAACCTTCCCTTTTAGGCTGGTTCTTGCCAAGGTTGGGGAGCATCTCAATTTCTAGTTTGCTGTGTGACTTTAAGTCCTTTCTTGCCCTCTCTGTGTCTCTCCCGCCACCTCCAGAGTTCTGTCCCCTGCTGGGGATCCCTGGGGTCTGGATGGAGTACTGGGGGCGGAGGGTAGGGTGGGGGGTAGGGAGAGGAGAGGCAGGGGACAGGAGGCAGGACTCGGCATGGGACTGGGGCTCCTTATCTGCTGTTCGCTCAGGGCCTCCTCCCCAGCCACAAGGCTGTGCAGGATTCTTGCAACAGGAAAGGGACCGATTGCTGTCGCTTAGCAACTGGGCTGGCTCCTAGGAAACCAAAGGCGGCTTTGGATGCTGAGCATGGGTGGGAGAGGAGCAGCAGGAGGAAGCTCCTCTGGTTGGGGGGTGGTGTCTCTAGGTTTGGGGGACCTCAGGAAGGAGGAGTGGGGAAGGCTCATTGGGAGTGAGACTTGTGGGTTGTCATGACAACCAGAGGCAGGGGTCTCTGTCTCATCCTTTTCTTGGGTCCCAGGATGGTGTGGGCACAGTGTTTGTTGAATGAGTGACTGATCTGAGCCCTCACCAGCTGCCAGCTGCTAGGCTGAGCCCGCGTCATCTCATTTTACTCTTGGCCCCCCGGAGGTCGGTCTGTTGTTATTCGTGTTTTCCAGATGAGGAAACTGAAGCTGAGGGAGAGGGGGAGTGGTTATTCATTCCCGTGTTGCCCAGACAACAAAGCTTTGGGTCCTGGCCTCTGGTCTCCCATCCAACGGCTCCTTTTTCCCGCCCCATGACACCTTCATCTGCTGGGCTCCGTGAGGCAGGGCCTGAGCTCTCTGTGCCTCCGTTTGCTCATTTGGAAAATAGGGGCATTCCTAGTGCCTCCCCATAGGGCAGCGTTAGTCAATAGGACGGGCATGGTGAGGGGTGCTCCCCGCCGGTCCCTACCGTGGAGCAGTTTATCAGTTTAAACCAGTGGCACCCGAATGGTCTGCCCTGACTCTGTTTTCCAAGGTCCAGTGTGGGCTTTGGTCCTTGAGGGTCCTGCAGCCCCCTCTCCTGTCTTCCTCTGCCCCCAGGGACCTGGCCCCCCGAGACATCTCCGGCACATCAGACCCCTTCGCACGCGTGTTTTGGGGCAGCCAGAGCCTGGAGACTTCGGTGAGTGGCAGAGGGGAGCTGGGGGAGAGGGGGGCGTCGGAGGGTGGGGTCCCAGTCAGCGCTCTCTTCACCCCCTCCGCCTCCCCCAGACCATCAAGAAGACGCGCTTCCCGCACTGGGACGAGGTGCTGGAGCTGCGGGAGATGCCGGGCGGCCCCTCCCCACTGCGGGTGGAGCTCTGGGACTGGGACATGGTGGGCAAGAACGACTTCCTGGGCATGGTGAGCGCCCCGCCCCTCCAGCGCCCTCCACGGCTCCCCCTGCCTCCCAGGGGGAAGGAAGGGGAGGTGGGCTGGCACCCTGAGGCTCAGAGGGTAGACGTGAAGGCTGCCTCCCCAGGTCCAGGGAAATGGAGTCCTAGTGCCCCTTGTACATTTGGGGAGACCGAGGCTCTCAAAGGTGCAGGAAGCTGCCAAGGTCACGGGTGCGCCCATATCCTAGTCCTACAACGAGGGCACCTGGCATGGCCATGCGCTGGCCCCGTGCTGAGTGCTTCTCCAGCATAACCTCACTGACCCTCAAGGCCACCCTACAAGGCCGGGGTGGGGAAACCGAGGGAGGCTGGTGGCTTTCCCTCGGTCACATGACTAAGAAACAGCAGAGCTGGGGTCTGAGTGCAGGCCTCTCTTACTCCAGAATGTAAGCCTTTACCTCCTCTTCCTGGAAGCACTGGGGTTGGTGAAGGTTTTTCTCTCGGAACCTCAGTTTCCCCATCTGTACAATGGGTGGCTTGTTCCTGCCTCTGGATAGCAGTGCAGGTGTAGCAGGGCCGCTCGTTTTTAAAAGGAGCCAAGATTAGAGCAGATAAGAGGGAGGCTTGGTCATGCAATGCTGGCAGTGCCTAGGATGAGTTACCACGTGACCCAGCTATTCCACTCCTAGGTCTGTCCCCAAGAAATGCAAATACACACATGTCCACACAAAAGCTTGTACCTGAATGTTCACAGCAGCATTGTTCATCATAGCCAAAGCGGAAGCAACCCAACTATCTATCAGCAGCCGAATACATAAACAAAGGTGCTATAGCCTACAATAGAATAGCATTCAGTCACATAAAGGACCAAAGTACCGCCCAGCTGGTGTGGCCCAGTGGTTCAGCTTTGACCTATGAAGCAGGAGGTCATGGTTCAATTCCTGGTCAGAGCACCATCCCCAGTAGGGGGCGGGCAGGAGGCATCCCATCGATGATTCTCTCTCATCAATGACAGTTCTCTCTCTCAATCCCTCTCCCCTCCTTTCTGAAATCAACTTAAAAAATGTTTTAAAAAAGGAACAAAGTACGGACAGATGCTACAACATGGGTGAATCTTCAAAACACGCTAAATGAAAAAAGCCAGTCTCAAAAAAACCCCACACGTGATGTGATTTCACTGATAGGAAATGTTTAGAATTGATGAATAATATCTATGAAGACAAAATAGACTAGTGGCTGTCAGGGGCTGGGGAGTGACTGCTAATGGGTACAGGGTTTTTGGGGGGCTCACAGGAAATGTTCTGAAGTTCGTAGTGATGTTAGCACAAGTCTGACTTTACTAAAGGCCACTGAGTGATACACTGAAATAGGTGAATTCTATGGGGCACAATTATATCTCTATAAAGTTATTTAAAAAAGGGGGTGGGACTCGGGGGCATTTAAGCTTTGTGATAGACACAATGGTGTCCCCCGAACAGAGCTGAAAACACACCCAATCTGACATGCGGTCTCCAGCCGCTGTGTGACCTTGGGCAAGTCACTCCACCTCTCTGAGCCTCAGTTCCCTCAAATAAACGTCCCTGGAGGCCTCAGTGCCTGGCAGGGCTCCTCATTTAGGACTCAGGGAGGGAGTGTCACTGCTGTTGTGATGATGGGACACAGAGGGGGAGGAAGACGTGGCCCCTGGGCATGGTGAGCGCCCCGCCCCTCCAGCGCCCTCTGTGGGTGGGCAGTCCGAGTGCTTCTCTGGGGGCGGGGCTGGGCGGGGCTCCCCGAAGCTCTGTGTCCCCGCACAGGTGGAGTTCCCCCCCAAGGTCCTGCAGCAGAACCCCCCCAACGGCTGGTTCCGTCTCCTGCCCTTTCCCAGAGCGGAGGAGGATGCTGGGTAAGCATCGGAACCACTCTGGGTACCACCTTCAGCGCATGGCGGGTCCTCATGGGCACCCCCGTCAGCCCACAAGCCATCACCACGGCGCGCTGTTCGTTCCTTCGACACATGGCCCGTGAATGCCTCCCAGCTGTGTTTACACGTGCCCAGGCGCGCTCACCTTTCACCCACCTGCGAACATGTCCGTTCACACCTGTGGACACGTGATTTGAACCCTGGGTTCTTCCACACCTGCGCACTGTTCACCCCGTCTGTGCTTGTCCGGGCCTGTTGAGACCCTGTCGGCACTGTTCACACCCCTTTAGACGTGGCCATGCCTCTTCACAGCTACCCACATGCACCTTGCTTTGCAAACACCCATGCTCCTTACCTGTGTTCCCACCTGCCCATCACTGCGCCGGCCCATCCGTGCTTCCGTCCGTACATACGTGTGCTCTGACCGGCCAGGGGGAGCCTGGGTGCCCTGCGGCTGAAGGTGCGCCTCCTGGAGGACCGGGTGCTGCCCTCCCGGTGCTACCGGCCACTCCTGGAGCTGCTCATGGAGTCCGTGCTGCAGCCGGCAGAGGTGGGCGGTCAGACCAGCACGCCCTCGGGGGCTGGGGAGGGGCTGGGGAGGGGCTGGGGGAGGACCTGGGGGAGGGACTGGGGAGGACCTGGGGAGGGGCTGGGGAGGACCTGGGGGAGGATCTGGAGGCGGACCTGGGGGAGGGACTGGGGAGGGACTGGGGAGGACCTGGGGAGGGGCTTGGGAGGACCTGGGGAGGGGCTGGGGGAGGATCTGGGGGAGGGGCTGCGGGAGGACCTGGGGGAGGATCTGGGGGAAGACCTGGGGGAGGGGCTGGGGAGGACCTGGGGAGGGGCTGGGGAGGACCTGGGGGAGGATCTGGAGGCGGACCTGGGGGAGGGACTGGGGAGGACCTGGGGAGGGGCTTGGGAGGACCTGGGGAGGGGCTGGGGGAGGATCTGGGGGAGGGGCTGCGGGAGGACCTGGGGGAGGATCTGGGGGAAGACCTGGGGGAGGGGCTGAGGAGGACCTGGGGGAGGGGCTGCGGGAGGACCTGGGGAAGGGCTGGGGGAGGACCTGGGGGAGGGGCTGGGGGAGGATCTGGGGAGGGGCTGGGGGAGGACCTGGGGGAGGACCTGGGGGAGGATCTGGGGGAAGACCTGGGGGAGGGGCTGGGGGAGGACCTGGGGAGGGGTTGGGAGAGGACCTGGGGAGGGGCTGAGGAGGACCTGGGGGAGGGGCTGCGGGAGGACCTGGGGGAGGGGCTGGGGAGGTCCTGGGGGAGGATCTGGGGGAAGATCTGGGGGAGGATCTGAGGGAGGACCTAGACCCTGGCCGCCCTGCCTCAGGGAAACCTGCCTGAGCTGCTCTGGAGTCCAGGGCCCCAGCCAGCTCGCCTGCCGCCTGTCTCTCCAGGAGGACGTGTCCAGCCCCCTGGCGGTGCTGGAGGAGCTGACCTTGGGGGACTGCCGCCAGGACCTGGCCACCAAGCTGGCGAAGCTCTTTCTCGGCCAGGGCCTGGCCGGGCCCTTTCTGGACTATCTCACCCGGCGGGAGCTGGCGCGGACCAGTGAGTGGCCCACAGACTCCGGACAGCACTCCCCCAGGGATGAGTCTGCAGAGGGTCTCGGGGGATGGAGAGGGGTGTTCCAGCAGAGGACAGGGCTCCTGTGTGTGCATGTGCGTGTGTGTGTGTCTGTGTGTGTGCGCGCGCGCACGCACATGTGTGGTTTTGTTACTCTTGAGCTGTGTGGCCGCAGGCAATTGCTTAACCACCCTGGGCTGTGAACTCCGTGCTGTGGACGGAGCTGGTGTTGCGGGTCTCCTCAGTCCCTGAGGCTGGAAGCACCCTGACCTCTGCCTTGAGTGGGGGGGAGGGGTGTGAGGCAGATCATTCCCCCCCACCCCTATCCCAGAAAACACCTCCTTCTGCCCTCCCAGCCGACCCCAACACCCTCTTCCGCTCCAACTCCCTGGCGTCCAAGTCCATGGAGCAGTTCATGAAGGTGAGTGGACGGAGGCCCGCGGGGCCCAGCAGCTTCCCCAGGGGCACCCCTCCCTCCAGGGTTTACCCTGAGCTTGGCTGGCTGCAGGCGGCAGTGGGCAGCTGAGCTGGGGAGCTGGCGGCAGGTGCCTGGCCTCTCACCCCAAGTGGCAGCCCGGTCGTGCCCCCATCCAGCCCTTGGGCATGCCTTGGCCTTGCTCTGAGCCTCTCCCTGCATGGTGGCCCCTACCCCCAGCTCAGGGGCCTGCCCCGGGCTCGCCCTCAGCCCCACCCCGTGTGGTGCCCCCCGCCCCCAGCTCGTGGGCATGCCCTACCTGCACGAGGTGCTGAAGCCGGTGATCAGCCGCGTCTTCGAGGAGAAGAAGTACATCGAGCTGGATCCGAGCAAGATGGACCTGGGCCGCACCAAGTGAGCAGAGCTGAGGGCAGGGGGGGGACCCTGACCCCCGACAGCCCCCTTGTCCCCGAGCCTTGTCAGGCCGGGCCTGTGCCCCTTGCTAACACTCCCCGCCTCCCTTGCCTCCTTCACCGCATCCCCCATTCCCCGCAGCCCTGCCTCTCACCTAAAAGTCTCCCCTGTGGCACCTCCATCCTCACGCTGCCTGGTGTTGTGGCTCCGGGCAGGACTGGAAATCTGAGGTCTCTGGGTTCAAACCCCCGCTCTGCACCACCGGCGTGGCTGTGAGGATGAGCTGAGTTATGCACGCACAGCCCCATGGTCACTGCTGTTCCCGAGCACACGGGGCTCTGATAGCTAGCGTTGCTGGCCCTGCGTGCAGAGGCGGGGCCCTGCGTGGCCTGCGTGCAGGGCGGGCCTGGAGCACTGGGTGTGATTGGAGGATGCTGGGCAGTGGCTGGGTCAGACCACGCCTCCGTGGGCTCCTCTTCTCTCTCCGGGACCCTTCCCCACTCCTGCTAGGATGGGCGGTATGCTCCCACCAGGCCCTGAGGCTGGTGGCTGGGCAGCCCATCGGGGACGATGGTGAGGACGGGAGAGAGCCTTACCCTTTATTCTGGGCCCTGCCCACAGCTTGGAGGCGGGCACCAGGACCCCTTTTGCCAGGTGAGGAAAACAGCCTCAGAGAGGGGAGGCCACCTGCCCGGGGCTGCACCGTGGGAAGGAATTTGCACAGCAGGGATTTGAACCCAGGTCCTGAGCACAAGGGCAGGGTCAGTCCATGAAACCCCAAGGCAGAGACGTTTCCAGGCATACCTGGCGAGGATGCAGCAGGGGCATCCAGCACCTGGTAGTAGCCAAGCCTGAGGGGGCAGTCCTGAGTTCTAATCTCGACTCTGCCCAGTTTGCAAGGAGACCTCTCTGAGCCTCAGTTTCCTCATCTGTTAAATGGACTGCTTCGTCCATCCGGTTGCCATGAGGATTAGATGCTACCATGTCAGAGGCATTCGCTCCCTAAGGCCAGGACGCAGGGTTGGGCGGGGGTGGGAGGGAGGCAGGGAACCCCCAGCCTGGCTTCTGCGGAGGCCACAGTCTGAGAGGGGGCGACACAGACCCTTCCCCTGGAGGGGAACAGGAAGGGAAGGAGCAACATCACTGCAGATGGAAAACTGCTGCTCCCTCGTCCGCTCCACAAAACCATCGCTGAGCACCTACTGTGTGCGGGCCTGGTCTGAACACAGTTCACAGCTCACAGAGAATACATGGACCCAGACCCCTCTTCGGGGAGACAGATCACAAACTGAAAGAAGCTTCCTGCCGATGGAGGAAAAGGAAGCTGGGGAGGGAAGTGTCGGGAGCAGGGGAGGGGCTTGCGGGGTTCTGTCCGGGTGGCTGCCAGGACAGCCTCGCAGAGAAGGGGGCATGGAAGCAAATACATGAAGGAGGGGAGGGAGAAAGTCACGTGCAGGAAGGGGCACTGCAAGTGCAAAGGCCCTGGGGTGGCAGCAGGCGCCTGGCGTGTCCAGGCTGAGATGCATTTTCAGGGTCTGGGATGATGTGTGATGGGGGAGGAAGGGGGGGGCCTCTTGGAGGAGGTGACATCCAAGCGGACTGTGGGGACAAGTCAAGAATGTGTAAGCAGCAGCACGGAGCCGTGGGAATGGGAGGAGGAGAGGCCGCGGAGAGGGGAAGGTGGGGAGGGGCAGAGGGGAGAAGGAGGGGAGGTAAGAAGGGGGGAGGGGGCGCTGCCTGAGCCCAGCGGGGGCCAGTGGAGGGTGGCCAGGGGCTGGGCTCTGAGGCCATCCCCCCCCCCCCCGTTTGCTCCCCCAGGAGGCTCTCCTTCAAGGGCTCGGCCTCGGAGGAGCACGTGCGGGAGGCCAGCCTGGGGCTGCTGATGGGCTACCTGGGGCCCATCGTGGACGCCATCGTGGGCTCCGTGGGGCGCTGCCCGCTCGCCATGCGCCTCGCCTTCAAGCAGCTGCACCGGCGCGTGGAGGAGCGCTTCCCGCGGGAAGAGCACAAGGTGGGCCGGGCGGGCGGGCGGGCGCTCCCGTGGGGCAGACGGGGAGACTGAGGCTGGGAGGGCAGCAGCGTGTGCAGGGTCACGTGGAGAGGCCGGGCAAGGGCAGGGGCAGACGGGCAGAAACCGGCTGCCGCGCTCCAGCGCTCTGCGGCCCAGCCCTGGAGCCCGGGCTCAGAGCTCTTGACTTGTGCCACGTTGCTCCCCACTTCCTGTTTACGGATGGGGAAATTGAGGCCCAGAGGGGGAAAGGGCCTTGGCCTCCAGCCTCCCCGCTGGGGCGTCTCCTTCCTCTCACTCTGTCCGAGCTGAGGAGTGGCCTCCAGACTGGGACGCGGATTGCTTTCCGCCCCGCTTGGCCCGGCTCTTGGCAGAGGTGCTCAGTGGGACACAGGCAGGGAGGCGGGCTCCCCAGAAAGTCTGACCCTTGAGGGTGGGTGGCGCCAAGATCAGTGACACCCCAGCATCCCCAGTTCTCACCCTGCAGTGGGAAAGGCCGTGGGCGGGGAGCAGGGACTTTTTCAGGCCCGCAGGTCTGGATGGGGTCAGGGGAGCCCCTCGCTCTGCCTCCCTGACACCTGTTCCTCCTTCTCAAGAAGGAGGAAGTCACGTGCCGATGCTGAAGGCTAAAATTACCCTCAGGGGCAGTGCAGGGTTCCAGAGGAGGGAGGGAGGGGCAGCTCCAGGTCCCCCGCCCCTGGCAGGGTTCCCTGTGGCCAGGGAGTTGGACCCACCAGGGAGGGCCTTGTCTCCTGTGTGAACACAGCCCCTAAATACGCTCCGGGACCCTCCCGGGCTAAGGATAGCCCGAGGAGGAGAGGCGAGTGGGGAGAAGCTGGGGGGAGCCAGAGGCACCCAGGATGGAGACACGCCCTCTGCTGTGCTGGGGGAACCAGCCTCATCTGGGGGGGGCAGAGGGCTGGGGGGCAGGCCCGGGGTTTGCATGGACAGGCCACGCTTTATAGTTTGTACAGGGCAGAGGCTGGGGCTGTGGGTGCCCACAAGACAGCCTCAGTTTCCTCATCTAGAAAAAGGAGAGCCGAAACCGGTTTGGCTCAGTGGATAGAGCCTCGGCCTGCAGACTGAAAGGTCCCAGGTTCAATTCCGGTCAAGGGCATGTACCTTGGTTGCGGGCACATCCCCAGTAGGGGGTATGCAAGAGGCAGCTGATCGATGATTCTCTCTCATCGATGTTTCTAACTCTCTATCCCTTTCTCTTCCTCTCTGTAAAAAAAAAAAAAAAATCAATAAAATATATTTTTAAAAAAAGAAAGAAAGAAAAAGGAGAGACTGGTTCCCACCCCGTGGGATGTTTGAGGATTACATGCGATAGTTCGGCCTCAGTTCCTGACTAAGGGAGCGCTCCGCAGTAGCTAGTGTGGAATGCAAGAAGAGAGTGTGGTGGAGAGATGGGAGTTCAGATCCCGTCTGGGCCCAGACGTGGTTCTGCCACTTCCTGCTGTGAGGCCTCGGGCAAGCAGCCACCCCTCTCTGGGCTTCCGTTGCCGCCTCCGTAACACGGGGGTGAAACGCCAGCTGGGTGCATGTTAGACAAACGCATGGACGGAGAAGGGTCTGGCCTGTTGCTATTTACCGTCACAAATCATAGATCTGGGATTGGGTCCTGCCTCCTTTGCTCATCGGCTGTGTGACCCTGGGCAAGCCAGTTGGCCTCTCTGAGCTTCTGCTTCCTCGGCTGTAAAATGGGAATAATGACGACGCTCCCTTCATGGGACAGCGACCTCAGCGGACTCGGGATGGTTGGCTGCGTCTGCTCATGCAGAATGGGTATTATTGTGTCATTCTCCAGAGGGAAAACACCGAGGCCCCAAAGGAGAAGCCTCCTGGGCGGACCAGGATGGCCTTCTGACCCAGCTCCCGCTTCACGTCCCCAGTTTCCACAGGGGAGGGGAGGGGTTTGGGGTGGGGGTGCGGGGCTCTCACCTGCTTTGTTTCTCGGCAGGACGTCAAGTACCTGGCCATAAGCGGCTTTCTCTTCCTGCGATTCTTTGCACCTGCCATCCTCACCCCAAAGCTGTTTGACCTCCGGGACCAGCACGCCGACCCCCAGACTGGCCGCTCACTGCTGCTGCTTGCCAAGGTGCGGGCACAGGAGGCCCGTCCTGGGGGTACCGAGCGAGGGGAAGCATGGCAGGGACAGAGCGGGGAGGCCAGGCCTGCAGGAGATCCAAATGTGACCCAAACACCCGCCTGACACGCCACCATTAGCTCTCATCCCTGGGGGGGAAGGCGTCCATTACACTCTCTGATTTCCTCTTTGGAAACAAAAGACCTACGCTTCCAGGAAGAGAATGGAAAGCAGGCTAGTAGTCCTTTACACCTTAGTATGAATTAGGCCTTCCGTGGCCAAGTGGCCACATTTTGAGGTTCTGATGGGCTCCAGATATGCATGGTAGGATCAGGCAACCCCGGGTGTGGGCTCAGGAGGGAACAGAATAATCAGGGCTCTGGGGGTGCATGTCTGCCCACACGGAGGGACAGATACTGCCCAGAGCAGGTGCTGCTGTGAGACCTCTTCTTTGAATACTGACGTGGGAGCCAGGACTCGGGGGCTCTGTTCTGGGTCCAGAGAGGACTCCGCCCCTGCAGCGACCTTGGCCCTGGGACCCCCTGCTCCTTTGCTCCAGGCTGTGCAGAGCATCGGGAACCTGGGCCAGCAGCTGGGCCAGGGCAAGGAGCTGTGGATGGCCCCCCTGCACCCCTTCCTGCTGCAGAGCATCTCACGAGTGAGGGACTTCCTGGACCAGCTGGTGGACGTGGATGGGGAGGAGGGTGAGTTCCGGCGGCCCTGCCACGTCTGGCTTGTCACTGCCTCCCCTAGACCCTTGGGTCCTGCCCTCCCTCTATCCCTCTCGCATCCCACCGGAGCCTGTGGGACCTGGGCATCAGCTCGTCCGTCCACTAACATTTCCTGGCACCCGCTGTGCCATTCCAGCCGACGTGGAGATGTAGGTGGGAGTTGTGGCGTAGTGTTCACGCCATCGACAAATACCTATGAAGTGCCTGCTATGGGACAGGCCACTGTTCCATGAGCTGGGGAAACGGCAGTGAGCAAGGAAGTCCCGCTTTCGTGGGAGTTTTATTCCAGTGGAGACAACGGGCTGTGAATAAGATGACTCAGCACATCGTGGTGTCTTAGGCAGCGACAGGGGCCAAGGAGGGACCGCAAAGGAGGGGAGGGAATGTTTGGGGGGGGGGGGTTGGTGGCCAGAAGTAGTCTCGCTAGAGCAAAAGTGAAACCCTGAAAGAGGACGGAGAGCAAGCCACGAGGACCCTGGGGAACAGCACGTGCAAAGGCCCTGAGGTGGGGACGGAGAGTAGCAATGAGGAGGCCAGTGGAGGAGAGTGAATGGGCCGGGGGCGGGGGGAGGAAAGGAGTGGTGAGAGGCCAGGTTGTGGGGGCTTTGTAGGCAGCGGGAAGGACTTCGGCTTTGACTTGGAGTGACATGGAGCCGCAGGGCAGTTTTAAGCAGCGTTGGGGTCGAGTCCATGTCTCAGGGTGGGCCACAAGAGAGTTGGGTCTAAGCCTCGTAGGAGCAACCTGTTGAAATGTGGAGCCCGGGGGTGGCCAGTCCCGGTGGTGCTGGGGAGGAGCCTGGGCTGGACTCCTGGAGTGGCGGGATCTCAGGCCCTCCCTGCGCTGACTCCGTACAGCATGGCTCCCCCTGCTGGCTGCCTGCGACCCTGCCGGCAGGTCCCACAGGTAGAGAGAGGAGCCAAGGCCCAGCCATCAGTGACACCGGGGCCTATGGAGGGAGCGGACTCCTGCCTCTGCGGGAACCGAGAATCATGCTCACCCCAGAGGCCCTGGCCACGTGGAGCCTGGACGGGAAGGCTCACTGCCCCCTCCCCTCTTCCCAGAGGCTGAGGGCCCAGCCAGGGCCCTGGTCCCGCCCTCCGTGACCGTCCGGGAAGGCTACCTGCTGAAGCGCAAGGAGGAGCCCGGCGGCCTGGCCACACGCTTCGCCTTCAAGAAGCGCTACTTCTGGCTCAGCGGGGAGACCCTGTCCTACGCCAAGAGTCCCGAGTGTCAGGTGGGCCTGCAGCCCACCACGGAGCGCTCCCCGCGGTGGTGACCCCTCACAGAGCGGCCTGTGCACCCAGGGACACTGGGGCCCAGGATGGGCAAAGATCTGCCCACGGCCCCATAGCAACCTGGCCAATTCTGGTTCCCAGGCCAGGCTCTGCTCACACCCGTGGGCCAGGTGTGAGGGCCCAGGCCGGGGACAGGCGTGCACCGACACACCCTTCCCAGCAAACACTCTCCAGAATGCACCCCCCCCCCCCAAACGTCCCCTCCCCGACATGGACACACACACACACACATACACACACCGATGCTTAAGCGCCCTCAGCTGTTCCCAGCCAGGTCTCTGCCCACGGACCATGGATACCCCCGTCCCATTGGATCTGCTCACTGAGAGGCCCGTGCCCGGCTGCTGGGCACACACAGCCGGGCACCTGCTCACTCCCATCCATTCGTTTCACGTTCATTGAGTTCCACTGCGCAGGGGGTGGTGGGCCAGGCACGGGCAGGGCACGCAGCGACAAACGAGACAGAACCCGTCCTCACGGGGCGGCACAGACAGACTCGCATGCTGGGCCCGCCCCCTTCCGTGCCCACAACACAAACAGCAGCTCACGGCGGCGGCGGCAAGGGGCCACCTGGGTGTCTCCACGCGGTCAGTAGAGCGTAGATGCTGGAGTTCCACCCCCTGGGTGCACCCAGGTCTGGCCCCACCGGGTGAAGGACCTCCTGCGCCTCAGTTTCCTCATCTGCACATGGGGGAGAGTAAGGGACCCGGCCGCGGGGATGTGTTGGGATGCCCACACACGATGGTAAATGCCGAGTGTTTACAACCACATCCCAAGGGCTACGCATGTCGGGGTGAGGAAGAGGAGGAGGAGGAGGATGGCGGTGGGGATGGTGGACACGGAGGCCCAGGGAAGCTGTCACTGAATTAGAGCGCAGGGGGTCATGGGACAGCGGAGTGGGGACACCCCGTGGTGCACGCCCCCAGAGGAAAGCTGTCCCCCTGCCCCCCCAGCTCCCAGCCCACCCGCCACATCCCTGTCTCCCAGGTACGCTCCTCCATCCCCGTGCCGCACATCCGCGCCGTGGAGCGCGTGGACGAGGGCGCCTTCCAGCTGCCGCACGTCATGCAGGTGGTGACCCAGGACGGCGCGGGGACGCTGCACACCACCTACCTCCAGTGCAGAGTGAGGCGCCGCCGCCAGGCTGGGGACCTGGGGGTGAGCAGGGGGTCCCCCGAGTCCCACCTCACCCCGGATCCCCGCTCCCCGCAGAATGTGAATGACCTCAACCAGTGGCTGTCGGCCCTGCGCAAGGCCAGCGCCCCCAACCCGGACAAGCTGGCCACCTGCCACCCCGGGGCCTTCCGCGGCGCGCGCTGGACCTGCTGCCTGCAGGCGGAGCTCTCCGGTGAGCCTGCACCGCGCGCCTGCCCCACCTGCAATCAGTCATCGGGGCTCCCGAGCCACACGGAGGAGCAAGTTAATGAACCTCTCTGTGCCCCTCGGGCTCCGGAAGGGTGGGAGGCGGCTGTAACAGGGCCCGCCCCCTAGTCTTGTGAGGATTAAATGCAGGGTGTGTTCCTTGTAAAGCACCCACTACGCACCAGGCATCTAGCCGTCCACAGACAGGCCACCGGGCCTGCTCTCGAGGAAGACAAGCGAATAGCCAGACGCTTGTAATACAGCTTCCTAAGTGCCAGGATGAGGCTTCTGGGGCTCCCAAGAATGGGTAGGGGGAAATCAAGGAGGGCTTCCTGGAGGAGGCGCCGCTTAGATGTGACCGGAGAAGAGCGGGCGTGGAGCAGGGAAGCTGGGTTCAGGGAGGGGGTAAGGGAGGATGTCGCCGGCGAGCAAACGGGAGCAGAGGCCTGGACCAGAGGCGGCGGGGCAGAAGGGTTAAAAGGGCTCTGTGTGGGTGGCGCCTCGACTGGGGGAGGCAGGAGAGAGGTGAGGCCACTGCTCTGCTGGGTGAGGGTGGAGGCCGCAGGGCTGGAAATAGAGGCAGAAGAGGCGGGGCTTGGCTACAGCCTGCCTTGGGGGCTTGTGGGGTGGGGGTGGGGGATGAGAGAGGTTATGGGTGGCGCCGTGTTCCCCTCAGCTGCTGGTTGCAGCCACACGCACTCGGCCGTCACCCTGGGAGACTGGAGTGACCCCCTGGACCCCGACGCTGAGACCCAGATGGTGTACCGGCAGCTGCTCCTGGGGCGGGACCAGCTCAGGTGGGTGCCCCTCATCCCGCTGCAGCCCTGTGACCAGCTGGGCCAGCGCCCACAGCGGCCTCCCTTACTCAGCTAGTCATTCTTCCCACGCGCATCCACTGAGGGTGGGCTGGGGGGTAGGGCAAACTCGGGGTGAGGGCGGGGAAGCACCCGCAGGTGGACCCTACTCCCTGGATCTTAGCATCTTCTAACACCTGGGGCTCCGGAGACACTGGCCCGGACCTTAGCTGTGCCCCTTCCCCTACCTGGTCATTGTTATCCAGCGACAGAGATTTGTTCCAGCTCATTACAGAGTGGGTTCTGCAGCTGGCGTGCGCCGGTTCAAATCCCTGCCTGGCCACGTGCTGGCTGTGTGGTCGTGGGCAAGTTGCTTACCTTCTCTGGGTCATAGTTTCCACTTTTGGAAACTAGGGTTAGTAATAGTACCTGCCTCAGGGGGTTGTCCTGAGGGTCAAATGCGCTAATATAGATAGAACCAGCCCTATGTAGGTGCCGGCCACGTAGGTAGCTTTCGATGAATGATTACTACTGTGATGCTGTTCTGTCCCTCTCTGTGAATCATGATCACCAGTAAACGGAGGTAACAGTAAGCACCTACCTCGGGCCCTTTTTTGTGATAACCGAATAAGTTAACCCCTTCACACGGGCTGTGATGAGGATGGGGGTGGTGCTGGTGAGAGAGAACCTGAATGCCTCCTGCAACCAGCAGAGAATCCCTACAGCAGGGACCAGCCTCATCTTCCTCCCTCTCCCATTTCTAGGATGAAATTCCTGGAGGATTTCAACGCGGATTCAAGTCCGGAGGCAGACAGGGAGGACTCCGGGGCCATGGAAGGTAAGGGTTAAGTTAAGGCTGTCCCTTTCCTTTTCAGGCTCTGACATCTCCCACACCCTGCACGCACCCCCTACTCTGGTGTCCACCTGCAGGCCCAAGGCTGTGTGTGTGTGTGTGGGGGTGCTAGTACCTCTAAGGATTCTCCCGGCACAAGGCAGATCTGGAGCCTGAGAAAGCCACGGGGTGTGGGTTCTGGCAGCCTGCCCTGCCCTGGCTAAGCTCCTTGGGGCCCCCTTGTCTCCCGCCCAGGGGCCTGCCCCGACGCCCTGGCCGGGCAGAGAGAAGCAGCGGCCCGCCTGCTGGAGGTGCTGGAGGACCTGGATCGAGCCCACGAGGAGTTCCAGTGGCAGGAGCAGGGGAAGGCGGTCCCGGGTCTCCGCAGGCCCTGAGGGGATGCCACAGCCAGCTGGGAGGAAGAACGAGGAGCCACCGGGCCGGTCTCGGCACACCCCGGCCCAGGAGTCTCCTTGTGGCTGTCCTGTACCTTCTTTATTGATGCTGAGGCTCCGAGGCTTCTGGGAACTTCTTAGTCCCACATTCTCTAAGCCCCAAACCTGGTGCCTGGAGGCAGGGAGCCAGCCTCGCCCAGAACGAGTCTCCCTCTCCGGGTTGAGACGGACTGGAGTGGCTGGGATCAGGGACCTGACTCAGTTGGCTCAGCCTGAGGTCTCTGCTTCACGGGACTGGCCTCTACCCACCCCCACGAGGCTGCTGGATACAGCTGCACCTGAGTCCCTGATGCCCACGTGGCCTTGTTGCCCCAGGCAAGCACTAAACGGGCTCAGCCCTTCCTGTTTTCACGTCTGCCAATCACTGTAACCTCACTGGTCCTCCTGAGCCGTGCCCTTGGCGGACGGTCCTAACCACAAGCTTCCGGAATCAGGTGCCTCGGGAAGAATAGGCTGGGAGCGCAATGGGCGAGACCCAGACGGACCCTTGGAGTCTGGGACGCCTTCAGCCAGGCTCCTTGCCCCTCTTTGAGCCTCAGTTTACCCATGTATACAACGAGGAGGGAGTGGCTTAGAAATAGCTCTGGAACCAGGGGGGAGTTTTTCAGACTGTGGCCCAAAGTCTCTCCCCCCTTCATCCCCCAGGGTGTCTGCTAAAAATACAGCTCCCTGGGCTACACCGGGAGCTACTACATCACAATCTGAAGGAGCGTGGGTGGGAGGCGTCAGGATTCTTAACAAGTTCCTCAGGTGACCTGGATGATCATGGGATCTGATCAGGGGGCTGGGCGATTTTACCTATTAAGAGTTTGTCTCAGAATGAATCCCAGAGGATAAAATGTTTGGAAACACCCAACAGGCAGACCTGGTAGGGCCTCGCAGGACTCTGGTTTTGTGAGATTGCTGTGTCGGGTGGGACAGAAACGGAACCTACCTGAATTGGGAGGTGGAGCAGGATGCGGCGCTATCCCACGTGTGGCCAGCAGGGGTCGCTTGGAGCCGCAGCACCCACAGCACCCTCCTGGGCAATTCCTGGCTGTTGCAAATGCTGATCAGAGAAGCTTGTTGCAGAAACTGGGATGTGTCCCTGGCTCTTCTCTCGGTAGACAGAACCTGGCCCTCTTCCTCCAGGGCAGAGACTGGGGTTCGGAGGTACCCAGGAGTTGGCCACGGCGGCTCCCAGCTTTCTCCCATATTTCCCCAGAAGCTCTGAGCTCCCAGCCGAGCCCCTCGTTCCTAGTCATTGTGCCAGGGAGCACCGTGTGCCCGAGAACAAACCTCAACCTCTATCCTCTGGGTAGGTCTGCCTCTGCCACCATCACACCCTCTGCCCCAGGACAAGAGAATCATGGGAACCCTGCCTCGCCAGCTGCCCCAGGCCCAGAGGGGCAATGGTCCTAGGGTCGTCATTTGTTGCAAGGCCCCCAGGAACAGAGCCCTCCCCCCCCCCCCGTCCCCCGCCCTCCTTCCTTGGCAGGAAAAGACAGGGCGAGGAGGAGAAAGGCCGTTTATTTCTCCACCCACAGTGGGACTGGTAGTTTTTTTCAAAAGAGCAATCACTGGCGTCCCTTTCGTTCTTGGCTGGCTTCCACCGCGGCAGCCAATCCACAGAGGCGGAGCTGGTGCGTTGCCTGGGCAACAGGCCTCTGGTTGGTGGAGACCATCAGCCACCCCACGGCCCACACTCCCGAGCCAGGGGAGCGGACGCGCTGCTCTCCGGCCTGCTTTTTTTGCAGACCTGCTGGCTGACACCAGGCCTCCTCCTCTCGCTCCTTAAGCCAGGAGCTCCAGCCTTCGGAGCTCCACATTGGAAACGAATCGGTGGGGAGGATGGGGCGGGTGGGCAGAAAGGCAAGCAGTGATTGCCTTCACCTGGGATGGACGGACAAGGGCCTGGGGATGGATGGGTGGGAGGAGGAGGAGGTCAGGGTCCCAGAGGAGGATGAGGAGACACGAGCACAAAGCAAGATACCTCTAGCCCCCCTCTCTCTGGCCCGCCCCTTTGCAGAGCTGCGCCATAACCTGGGGGCAGAGACGGTGACACAGATGGGGGGTCAGCTGGGCGCCCCAAGTGCCCCTTTGTCCCTCAGGAACCCCAGCAGGTCCCCAAGTGCTTGACCCGAGTCGTCCTGCTGGCAGACAAGCTCGTGCGGAGGTGACAGACACACATGGGGTCCACACGGAGGGTCGCAGGGGTCTCCTGTCTCTCCCCCTCCGGCCTGGGGGCAGGTAGAGGCACGTGGGTGCGCGTGCATGTGTTCACCAGGACACGTGTCTGTGTGAGGGGTGGGGCTCCGTCTTGGCGGTAGGGCGGTCGCTGTGGTTCCTGGTGCTCTCCCTGCGGTCCTCTCAGGGTTCGGTCGGAGCAGGCTGGTTGGCCTGCCGTCTTCCCATCATCCCCAGTAGCCACCAGCCCGGTTTCCAGGGCGCATCCGGCTTCTTCCACGGGCTCCTCCCCAGCCCTGGGCCTGGGCCACCAGGAGGCACACCTGGCGGAGGGAGGCCCGTGCCGAGCCAGGGGCAAAGCAGGAGGGAAGGTGGGCGGCCCGGGGCCTCAGGCTTTGGCCGTGGCCTCGGACACACCCTGGGCTGTGAGCTCGGCCAGCACGTTGTCTAGGTAGCTAGCGTCCGGGTAGCCGTGGCCCGTGAGGTTGGATCCGAACTCGGTCTTGTGGTGGATCTCGTTCCACACCACGGTGTCCGACTCGCCCGTGGTGTTGGAGGTGCCGATGGTGAAGATGAGCCTGCGCTCCCAGGCGGTGATGAGCAGCCGCAACACCTGGAAAGCCGGCGATGGGCGGGTCACAGGCAGCCCCGCCTCCCCTCCCCTCCCCGGCCAGGCGGTGGCTCCCCGAGGCCTACTGAGCCCAGCAGGATGCCCTGTGGCCGCTGGGCTTGGCCGGTTCCTTCCCAGGACAGACTCCCAGGACAGACTCATTCCAAGCTATCTGTCTGTTTCTTCTGGGGTGAAGGAAGGTGATAGATCCTCCCTTCCTCTAGTTGATGGACAGACGTAAACCCCACCTGCAGCCAGCCGGTCCAGAGCACTGAACCACCAATCAGCACCTGCCAAATGCCCTAAGCCCCACCCTCCATTCCTAAGTCCCTAGGTCACCAATCAGCGTGTGCTGAGTGCCCTAAGCCCCACCCCCTATCCTCCCCTTAAAACTACATGGACACCCCCCCCCCCCCCCCACCTCCTCCGGTTCTCTTCTGCCCGGGGAGCAGCCGGCTGTGGTACTTTTCTCTTTAATAAAGCCTGAGTCCTGCCATCCCGGTCTCCGGCCCCTCTCTATTTCATCTTTCAGAAGGGTCTCAAAGGGTCTCTGCAGTTTGGTGTGGACCCCACACTACGTGACTCTGTTGGCAATATTTAAAAAAAAATCAATTTCTGGCTCCTCTAGAAAAATAATAAGTAGAAGCAGACAACACCTAGCGTGAGGTGGTGAAAAGCCTGGACTGCGTGGGTTCACAGACACGCTCCACCACGTACTAGCTGTGTGACCTTGAGCAAGTTACTTGCCCTCTCTGAGGCTGTTCCTTCACCTGTAACATGGAGTCAAGACCTTGGCCTCAGCAGGGCCTGGCAGGGCTGGACGCACAGTAGGTGGTCACGTCCCTTTCGGTGGGGGAGGCAGCCCTGGCCCGCAGCCCCGCCCCCTCACGACACCCACCTTCCGGCCCTTCTCGTTGTTGGGCAGGTAGCAGTGGCGCGGGAAGCCTCTGGCGGTGAACTTCTTGCCGGGGTTGGGGTGCTCAGGGCCCTGCGGGAAGGAGCAGCCGAGCTCAGGAGCTGGAACCGCAGACAGGAGTAGGGGGGTTCTGGAGGGGTGGGAGGAGGGGGGGGTCAGGGGCCCCGGGGGCTCACCTGGATGCCGGTGGGGATGTCGTAGACGATGCGGATGGTCTGGGTGTCGGCGAAGCCGGGCAGCGAGTGGGGGATGAGGTGGAACTCCATCTTCCCGGGGGGCTGCGTGCCCGTCTTCTCCCCGTAGATGGCCTTGCAGGTGGGGCACTGCAGGCTGCCGTCCTGAGGCGGGGGAGGCGGGGTGAGGTCCCCGAGGCTCCGGCTCCCCCGGGCCCCCTCGCCAGCCCCCCACGCGCCGCCCCCAGCCCACCTTGTTGCCGTTGGAGTACATGGCCACGAGGCACAGCAGGTGGTACATGTGGCCGCAGCGGCCCAGGCGGCCCACCAGCTCGGGCCGCACCCCCTTGCGTCTCAGCACGCCCTCGTAGCCGGACGCCGTGACCAGCCGCTCCATGCAGATGGTGCAGTCCTGCGGGCACAGGGCGGCTGAGGGCTGGGAGGGCAGGACTCCCTTCTCGGGCGCCCGTCTGTCACAGGGAGAGGACGCCCACCCACCAAATTCAGATATGTGGCTCCCTCACCCCCTCCCTAGGGATTAAGGTCTATCAGCAGCAGAACCTAAACACTATGGTGAAAATAAGATACAAACACGGCCAATCACCCAAAGACTGGCACCTGTGACTCTATGACACTCAGCTTTCTGTTGACCAAAAGACGTTGTTGAGAAAGTGAACCCACAAACTGGGAGGAGGGACCGTAACAGAACCAGGAGGAATTCCATGGGGGTGGAGGGTGAAGAGGAAGATCAGGGAGGGGAGGGGGGAGAGACGGCCTCTTCTCTGCAGGCAGGGCCGCCCTCAGCCCAGGTCCATGGCCCTGGGCACTCACCTCATCAGGTGGGTTCTTCACCTTCTGCATGTACCTCCGAACCACATCCTCAGGGTTCTTACCTGCAAGGACACGAGGGGGTGGGTTCGAGGGCGCCCGGAGTCTACCCCCAGGCCGAGGCGGCTCCGATGGAGTCAGGGGTTGCAGAGGTGGGGTTGCCAGGGGTGAAAGGTCAGGGGTTGCTGCAGGTGGGATGTAATTGGAGTTCGAGCAGAAGGGGTTGGGGGAACGGCAATTGAGATCAGGACATGGAGGTGAGGTCCTAAGTCCAAGAGCAAATTGGAGCTGGGCGTCCCAGGGATTGTGGTCCGGGGTTAGCAGGATTCAGTTCAGGGGTGAGGGGGGGACGACGGGGGGCATACTTTTCTTGAGGTGCTTCTTCTTGGTCTTGCGGCACACCCCGGGCACGCCGGGCACCGGCTTGACGTCGCTCTTGCTCACCGGGGGCGGGTGCAGGATGGGTTTGGGTGCCCGGGTCAGGCACACGGGCAGCCCAGCAGCGCAGAGCAGGATTCCAGTCATTCCTGGGGGCGTGGCCGGGGCAGTCAGGGGCGGGGCGTCCTCCAGGTCCCGCCCACCCACACTTCCCACCCTTCTGCTATTGGGTGTAGGCATGTGCCTCTCTCTCAGACTCCGCCTATCTGCTTGCATCCAGGGCTCTTGGGGTTCTCAGGTGGACGAGTGGGGTGTGCCCTGGGCCTCCTCCACCCCCTGCAACCCCACTCCAGGTTGAAGCCAAGAAGAATGCCTTGCCGAAACCGGTTTGGCTCAGTGGATAGAGCATCGGCCTGCGGACTAGAAGGTCCCGGGTTCAATTCCGGTCAACGACATGTACCTTGGTTTCGGGCACATCCCCAGTAGGGGGTGTGCAGGAGGCAGCTGATCGATGGTTCTCTCTCATCGATGTTTCTAACTCTCTGTCCCTCTCTCTTCCTCTCTGTGAAAAATCAATAAAATATATTTAAAAAAAAAAAAAAGAAGAATGCCTTCTGCAGGCCCCGCCCACACAGAGGGAGGGTGTGAACTCTGGGCCCCGCCCACGAGCTCCTTAAGGGATGGAGGCATGAAGCCAGCAGGTGGACCCTATTCCTTGCTTCGTAACGGGCTGGATCTCACCTGCCAGGGCCGGGTGGACCGGGCCGGTCCCATTCAGGTTCTTCACCGGGAGCGCGGGGACCCTGAGGGGAGAAGGGAAGAGGTTGAGGTCCCCCCACCGGAGGATCAAGGGGCCCGGGCACAGGGTGACTGCCAGCTCTGTGCCTGTCATCCAGACCGATCCCCAAGGAACTGCATTCCTACTCCCGCATCCTTCTGTGGCAAGGTGGGTGTGGCCAGGGCCTCACCCCGTTATAATGGAACGAACCCCTAGCCGTGGTGCCGGCTCTCCCCCCCCCCTTCTCCAGCCAGCTCCTCCCTGGTCAGAGCACCCGAGCTCCCGCGGCTCCCTCTCCCAGTCTGCTGTAGGAGGCACTAATCCCCATCAGAGGCTTTGGGAAAGAAGGATCCGGGGATCCAGTAAGTTAGGAAACACTTCAAAGTCTCCCTCCTGGGAAATTCACAACATACAGGAGCATGTTAAAGGCTCTGATAAGTCCTGCCTACGGAAATATGGCTGGCGATGGTACACCCGGGTTTTCCAAAGACACTTGGTAATGGACATTTTTTTGCATCTCTGCGGTATCTACTGCCGTCAGGGCCTGAGACCCAGGCATTGTCCTCTGTTCACAAGAAGAGAGCCTAGGAAAATGCTGTCTGCTGGTTCTCTTCGCTCTCCCCCCTGAGGCTCTGACTTTGGGAAATCACCTAGAGCTGCTCTCATATCTCAGGTCAACCACTGACCAGCGGGGTGACCCCCGGCATCACCTCCTCCTCCTCCTCCTCCTCCTCCTCCTCCTTCTCCTCCTCCTCCTTATAAGTCTGTTTCCTGTGTAACATGGGGTAACATGGCACCTTCCTTCTGTTTGCTGTGAAAAGTCAATGAAATTCTACATGTTGCTCAAACCGGTTTGGCTCAGTGGATAGAGCATCGGCCTGTGGACTGAAGGGTCCCAGGTTCGATTCCGGTCAAGGGCATGTACCCTGGTTGCGGGCACATCCCCAGTAGGGGGGTGTGCAGGAGGCAGCTGATCGATGTTTCTCTCTCATCGATGTTTCTCTAACTATCTCTCTCCCTTCCTCTCTGTCAGAAATCAATAAAAATATATTTAAAAACAAACCAAAAAAAGAAGTGTGTTCTGAAAGCCAGGGGCAGCCCGGGGGCCTGAGGGCTGTGCCAGGAAGGGGTGCAGGAAGGGGAAGGGGTGCAGGCAAGGAGGGGGCAGGGACGGCTGGGGAAGAAGCCGCTGCAGCCCCACAGCCTGCTGGCTAAGGACTGAGCCTGCCTGATGCTGCCTTGTCCCTGGCCCCTGGCGGGCACAGCTGGCACCGGGGAGCGGGCTCCAAGCACACAGCACACCTGGCTGACGTGGGGGCAGCTCCCAGCCCTGGTTTTGCAGAGTCTCTGGCCTGGGAGGGTTTTAGATCTTGGCTTTCTTACAATCTGTGGGCCCCTGAAAAAACCACAGAGCTCCGGGCTGCCAACGTCAGTCACGCTCCAGGGGAGAGGGTGGGGAGTGGGGTGTGACGGCAGGGCTGGTTTTTGTTTACCTATCGGGGATCTGGGGGACAGCCCCAAAGCGGCCCCAGCCCCTCCCAACCTGCAGGCTCCCTGCGAGAACCCAGGGGAGCAGGGTTCCCACGACACTGATCGTGGGAGCCACCTGGGCCCCCCTTTTGATGTGGGATGTGCGGCTTCCTCCCTGCCAGTGAGAACATCCTCCTGCCCTGGACAGGAGGCCGTGGCCGCAGGCCCCCGGAAGCGGGGCCACCCTCACTCTCCGCCCCGCCCTCCTGGGGCCCGGCCTGGCGGAGGGTCACAGGAACCCTTAAATCCCCCTGAAATCCGCTCTGACCAGAAGCCAGGCCCATGCCCCCGTCCAGAGGAGAAATGGATCCCGCAGTCACACTGGCCTTCCTGCTGGTTCCCCGCCCCCATCAGATCCCGTCTGTCCTCCGCCCTCCATCCCTGGCGGTTCCTTCCTTGCTCAGAGCAAATGCGGCTTTCTTATACTATACGCGATAGCCAGTACTGAGCCCTGGAACTCCACTGCCCCCATGCCCATCCCCTGCCCCTCCACCCCCGCGTCCCGGGTCTCCCTGCTGCTCCTCTAACATGCCCGGCACATCCCCACCCCCGGGGCCTTTGCACTTGCTGACCCCACTCCCAGGATGCTCTTCCAGGTAGCCGCATGTCTCGATTCCTCACTCAACACAGGCTTCTGCCCCAGTGTCTTCTTTTAATTAAAAAGAAAAGGTTCTTGTTGATTTTAGAGAGAGAGGAAGAGAGAAGGAGAGAGAGAGAGAAAGAGAGAGAGAGAAAGAGAGGAAGAGAAAAGGAAAGAGGGAGGGAGAGAGGGAGAGAAGAAGAGAGGGAGAAAGGAAAAGAGGGAGGGAGGAGAGAGAGAGAGAGAGAGAGAGAGAGAGAGAGAGAGAGAGAGAGAGAGAAAGAGAAAGAGAAAGAGAGAGAGAAACATCATTCGGCTGCCTCCTGTACTCCCCCTACTTAGACTCTATGGCAGTTTTCTTTTCTTTTTAAAGAAATACATTTTATTGTTTTTTTACAGAGAGGAAGAGAGAGGGACAGAGAATTAGAAGCATCGATGAGAGAGAACCATTGATCAGCTGCCTCTTGCACACCCCCTACTGGGGATGTGCCCACAACCAAAGTACATGCCCTTGACTGGAATCGAACCCGGGACCTATCAGTCCGCAGACCCTCTCTGGGCCTCAGTCTTATCATCTGCAAAAATAAGTGACGAACACATTCCACCTCTATACACTGAGGTTTCGGCTACAGCAGCGGTTCTTAATCCACAGGTTGAGAACCATTAGCGGGGTCGCCTAAGCCCATCGGAAAACACAGATATTGACATTACGGTTCATAACAGTAGCAAAATTACAGTTATGAAGTAGCAACGAAAGAAATTTTTATGGTTGAGGGTCACCACAGCATGAGGAGCTATATTAAAGGGCCGTGGCATTAGGAAGGTTGAGAACCGCTGGTCTAGCACATAGTAGATGCTCAGTAAACACTTATTTCGTGAATGAAGGAAGGCAGCCCGGGCTTTGGGGGTAGGTCCCGAGGGGACTCCTGTGCACGTGCTCAGGGATGCGGTCTGCATGGACTTTTCTGCAGATCTGAAGTGAGCCTGGAGCAGGAGTCCCGGGGACCTCCCCTTCCCCCTGCAGCTGCTGGCCCTGGGGAGTCTCGGCCAACATGCATCCTAAGTGACCACGCTCAGTGAGGGCATCCCGTGGGAACAGCCCCCCGCGAACATTCTCGAAGAATTTCCCAGAATTCTCCCCATCCAATCCCAGGTAGGAGTTCCATGCAAGGGTTTGGGGAGCCCAGACAGGTTACACCTGCTCTCTGAAGACAGGGTTAGAGGTGACTGTCCTCGGAAGGCCACTTCGGACCCCCGTCATGTGAATTCATAGCCACGTCTTACCGGAAACCAATCACTGACTGACTCACTGATAGAGAGAGGTGGACAGGAAGCCGGGAAGGCTGGTCAGCAGCCTTAACCACTCACGGTTTAGTTGAGGCATTGTTAGCTGAAGCGGCCTCTACCTCTGTGGTCTTAGGTGAATTTATTTCCTGCCTAAGGGCTATCGGTGTCTCCCATAGCCTCAATGAAAGGGATAGCAGGGCCAGAGCAGTGTGTAGTCCTCCCCCTAGAGGTGGGCTCCCGCCTGGCCCCCAACATCGCCAAATTAATACATTTTCTAGTCTCTTTTCATTTGTGTGCGGCCTTCTCCAGAACCCGGACCCTCAACCGGAACCCTGAACCACGTGGGTCGTGAACGGGGTTTCCTACAACTCCTCCTTTTCATTCCCAAGGGACTGTGCTTCTCCTCTCTTGAGGACTCAGGCATTTCGCTCTTGCTTTCTCGTTGTGTGGTTCCTCCCCTCTCTCTTCCCCCAGACTGTGAGCTTTTGGAAGCGTCTCTGACCGGGCCTGTGACTGGATTGAGGATGAAACTCGCTCACATGGGTCCTCAGTACGTCCTCAATGGGGAAGCTGAGCCCCATGAGGAAGTGCTCTGCTAGCTCTGCAGTCTCCTCAAGGGGAGGCCCAACATCTGTAGAAACAGAGGCTCCAATGCCAAACACAACCCCCACCCAACACGAGGCTGGAGCAGGGATGGCACATATACCACAGGTGTAGCACTACGCCCAGGACAGGCATCACCAATCAATCCCAGCACACCTTCCCATGAGCCAGGAACGCAACTGCAGAATCCCCCTCAGCACCCTGCTCTGCGGAGTGGCTGCCACGAGGGCAGAGACGGCTCAGGTAGAATCTGTTTGGCTCAGGTGGAATGTGTTCATCACTTATTTTTGCAGATGATGGGACTGAGGCCCAGAGAGGGGAAGCGACCTCACTAGGGTCACCCAGCTGGCTCTGGGTCCCTGGAGCTGTGGGTCAGTGAGCAGGGTGCTCCCACCAGGCTGATCTGTGGGGCCATCTGGAGAGGTGCCAGCCTTCTGAGACCTCTGTGCCCTGCAGGGGGGCTGAAGCCTCTCCCCTGGGCCGGGGGGCCAGCTCAGCCCTGCGTGGGCTGCACAGTGGGTCCCTCTGTCTGCTCGGCCACTCTGCTCCGGCCCAGCATCAGGGCAGTGCAGGGCCCGGGACAGCGGGAAGCCACACAGACACCCCCTGAGGGCAGCTGAGGTCCCCCCTCCACCTGCATCTGGCCTCCCTGCCCCTGGATATCCTGCCAGCGGTGTCATCGTCCCCCAATGATGGTTTCCAGGCCCCCAGATGAGTGTCAGGAGCCTTCAGAGCCCCTGGCACTTACCCAGGGGCCCCTTGGGAGGCCTAGGGCAGCCCAGTCCTCAGGCATTTGGGGTCCAAGAGGGTGAGGAGGGGGCGGAAGTGAGGGCCATGCCGTGGGGTTTCCAGGCTCCCTGGGCTTGCTCCTGTCCCCTGCCCCCTTCTAGTGCCCAGTCCACCTGCAGCCAACCCTGCCCTCCACAGTCCTGGGTCCCACCAAGCCCCGCCCATCCTCACCCACCCCTACCGGGTCCTGCCCACCCCCACCGAGTCCTGCCCCGCCCAGCCCTCTGCAGAAGCCG